GCAGGCGTGTGCACTGTGCCTGTGGAGTAATGCAGAGGATCCCTGCACTGAGGCCTTCCAGGTAAAACAGCTTGCCTGCTTCAAGCACTGGAGAAGCCCCCATGTCCTCACTTCTTGCTTGCTCATGGGCTATAGTAAAAATTGCTCACCACTGAGAAGTCTGCAGTGTGGCATTCCAGCAGTAAGGTTTGTAGTGTTCTACACTTTTCTTCCTGTGTTTCTGTATGAAACTAAAGGAAAAACTTAGTCCAACACACACACGCAAGAGAATACATTTACTCTCAGTGGCTGCATTTACCATCAAAGTTGGTAGGCTTTCCTGAAATTGGTTTCTGATCCCCCTAAAAGACTGGGGGGGTTTCTTTTTTGTTTTCTTTTTTTCAGAAAAAAAATAATAAAGGTTAGTTTCAGGGAAACTGAACAACATACATGGAAACTAAAATATCAACTGTGCAAATTCAATGTGGTATCAAAAGTTTAATGCATGTGATCTGCCTCCAGTTCCCTGAATTCCAGTGAATTCCCAGTTTCCACTAGCGGGTGGCAGGCATATCTGAGTGTGGTTATTTTCTGTTCATTTTGTGCCAACATGTGGTTGTGGTGGTGGTAGAAGGGATGTGACTTGGGAGGCAGAGGGAAACACTAGACTTCAGTCTGGGGAGGTAAACTCATTGGTCTTTACGGTGCTGTGCTCACCGAGTTGTTTCAGATCACATATGAATCCTTTTCATGTGACAGACACACTGCATGAAATACCAAGAATGGTACAGCCTGCAAAGCTGTGGTAAACAGATCTTCTCTTGTGATTCATCCAGCATCCTTTCTATGCTTTGCATCTAATGATCTCTCAAACGTGTACTTGAAAGGCATGAATAAAGCTGAATCTGCTTTTAAAAATGAGCCACAGTGTTTTGTGTGGCAAAAAACCCGAAAAGTGATCCTGAGTGTTCAAAGCTGCCAACATGGATTGCCGAAGCAAGAATTAGCATCCTTGCAATTGCTGCTGGATGGAACTGGATATATTTACTGGCTATTTAGAAACAGCTTTGACAGCCTTCCCTCTATTTCATTCACACCTTACCTTTGAGACACGGAGTGTCACTGACAACTTCCCAGAAGTCCTGTGGCTGATTCTAATTTGCATAAATTTTTCTGTGTACTGGTATATGCAGAGAGAAGTGGGTCCAACTGAAGTATCATCTTTTCTTTATGTCTCTTCCCTTATCTCCTCCCAGCCTCCTTTTCCAGGGCTGGGAAAATATGATGGCATGCATGTGCAGGAAGAAGCAGGTTGGGAGGGTCTGTGTTGTGGCATTGTACTTGGGTTTACTATATCCAGGAGCACACCATGAATGGAGCAAGTCCTCATCACTGGGGATGCGGCAGCCATTTCTCTCTGCAAATGGGATTTTCCTGCAGTCATGGGGCTGTGCAGAGGCCCCATCACTGTTCCAGAGAATCCTTACCCTATTTCCTCTTCTGTTCTCCTAAGCAGCAGTTTGCAGTTCAGTACAGCACATACCACAACCTTCCTCCCACCTTGCACACTGCCACGTACGCTGCACTGATGTTATGTGGTTTACAAAGCCCAGAACTGAAAAATTGAACAATATCAGCTTTACATTAGCACATGTAACCTGAAATCTGCCCACTCCCACATTTGTGCACTGAATGACATGGGATTGCTGATGCATGATTTTAAGTCTTGCACAAAACTGGGGCAGAATTTGCAGGAAAAGAGAAGGAATGTCCTGCCTGAATTTTAAGGGCTGGAAATTGCAATTACAATTTTTAACATAGTTTTCTGTAGATAATTCTGTATTTTGCAAAGGAGGAAAGTATAAAAAGAAACTTTGTTATCATTATGGAATGGGGTTTTTTATACAAACTTATTATTGTTTCAATTAATTGCCAGAAAGATAATGTGCTGTATGTGGGAGAGCAGTACCTGTGTCCAGGAGCTGAATGCAGAGCTCACTGAGCTGAGGCAGGATAGGCTGACAGAACTGTGGTTTTCCACACCTTTTCTGCATCTTTGAGCTCCTGCCTTACTTAAGAGTAATGATGAGACACCAGAATTTCCCAAATTTTGAAGACAAGTAGTTTTGTGCTACCGTAAGTGTACACAGGTGTATATTTATTTTTTTTTTGGTAAGGTGTACAGGGGCAGAATGCTAGTTTCTAAACAGATACAGCACATCAACATAAAGCATGCATGCAGGCTCAAGTATGTCACAAATCAGAGTGGATGGAGAAAAGGTACCTTTGTATTGGAGGTAGAAGGGTAGATGGAGTGATATTTCTTCCATCTAAAATGAATATATAGACACCTTGTGAAAAACCATTGCTAAATATACGTGGCCTTTTGGAAAGTGTCCCTGTGCAAATGCATCCACAACATCTAGAGTGATAAAAATCATCTACTGAGCTGAGTCGAGTGGCATAGTTGAAGTGGAGCTGTAAATAAAAATGTAGGCGGTTTCCTGCTAAAACTCCCCTGCATGTCCAAGAACCTTCTGTGACTCAACTGCCAGCAGTCACTGGGAACTCAGTTCAGACACCCTTTACTACTTGGGTATTTTTACTTCTATTTTTGCACTTTATCAAGAGAACTCCATTCATCTCTGGGGGAACCAAACTGACCATATCACCCATCATTTTTTGTTGTCAATGATCTCACAGTAGACCAACAAGACTGTATTTCTTGTTAAGCTGTCTGATTATCAGTGACCTATGCCTGCTAAACAGTCTGCTTGGATCTTTGTTAGACCTTCATGTGAAAGTTTTTGGGACTTATATTAACACACTTTAACTGGGCTCTTACCTGCATCTCTCGGTGGCCTAAAAATTGACTTTTCCTTGTTTTCATTTCATGTGCAAGAAGACTCAGGAGTGACTGGGGAGTTTATTTTAAAGAGTGTGTGTGTGAATATGCGACTATGTATTTGCTTATAGTTTTCTACATTTTCTACTGTACTATTGTGCCTTCAAAGAATTAGCATTTTTGCAAAGATGAACTGAGGTTGAAGAAACTATGGTTTTGTTAAAATACAGAAATAGCAGTCACAGAATCAATCATAGAATGGTTTGTGTTGAAAGGAACCTTAAAGCTCATCCAGTTCCAACCCCCTGCCACAGGCAGGGACACCTTCCACTAGACCAGGTTGCTCCAAGCCCCGTAAAACCTGGCCTTGAACACTGCCAGGGATGGGGCAGCCACAGCTTCTCTGGGCACCCTGTGCCAGTGCCTCAGCACCTTCATATGAAGAAATTTTAGTATGTCTAGTAGTTTTTGGTCAGCAGCATCTAGAGTCTTACCTACCCTAGAATATTTTACGTACAAAGCTGTCAGATGTCATCTTACTCCTCTGGGCTCATAATTTTGGTACATTATTATTGTTATTACAGTAATTCTTTCCCTACTCCATTTTGAACCTGCCTCTCCATGTGAAAAGTTCTGTGCCCACATGGCTTTGAACTTGGCATTGTTAGTTAATAAAGCAGATTTGGGAGATTTCAGGTTCCCATGAGCTGTGTTAGAATGGGCTATTATTTATCTTATGTGACATTTATTCTGTTGCTCCTTTCTTTCCTCTTTCTTCATCTAGTGTGTCTCATCTCTTCCAGTTCACAGTCCTATTGCTTATTTTTTCCATCTGACTGTGCTCCCTCTGTGCTAGTCCTTGATAACTCCTTATTGGCTTCTTCCATTATACTGCTGGAATTTGTCTGCACCTGACCTTTCGCTGTGTGAAGAAATCCCAATGTCCCAGGTTTAAAATTTACTCTGCTCTTTGCTTTTTTTCTGCTTTCCAGCCTGATAATTTCTAACTGCTTCCTGTAATTTCTGTTGAATACCTCTTTTAGTTTCAAGATGCTATCTGTCATTTGCTTTCTTTCTCTCTCTGATATTAAGTATCCTTTGTACAGATTTTATTCTGAGAATTAAAGTCTATCTTCTCCTCCAGAGTTTTCAGTTTAGCATCTGAAAGTTATCTGTGGTTTCTTGTTAGTGAACTTCCTTTCCGGGAAGTTCAGCCTCCTTGTATTTTGACTCAGGTCATAACATCAAAGTAGAAGCTTTTTTTTTTTCTTGCAAATTCCCATAACTGCCCACCTTTCTTCTCTTTTCTCTTCCTCAGTCCTCTCCAGTACTATACAGGGCAGTGCTATGTGGTGCATCAGCTTCATGAAAGCCAAGTTACTTTCCTTTAGACCAGTCCTCTTTTGCTGCTCTTAACAGCTGTGAATGCTGGAAGATTTGTTAGGTTTTGAAATCCTCCATTTGAAAAGCAGGAGACAGAGTTTTTACAAGTGCACCCAAGGAGGGGATACCCAAGGAGCTGGTGCCAGGAAGGAGCTCAGATTATTGCAGAAGCCAAAGGAACCCAGTGGCTGGCACTGGGGGACCTGACACTAGGGAGTGAGGTAAAAGGCAGGGACAGTGCAGGGGGTGCCTGAGTGTTAACGGATCAGAAGATCTGGTGTGATTCCAGGCAGGCAGAAAGGGAAGGTCTAGATAGGATATGTAGCCCAGGGTTGGGTCATGGAAGGGATGCTCTGGTGTGGGAGGCTGGATGTTTTTATTTTGTGAGCAAAAGGCAGCTCTATAGAGAAGGCAGAGGTTTTGAAATGGGTTTGGAGAAGAAGTGGAGTAAAGAATGTGGAGGACTCCAGGTCCAAGGAGTGGAGGGACTGAGAGCAATGGGTGGAAGTGTTGCAGATGTGCTATGGATAAGGGGAATCAAAAACAGGAGGTGCTGGGGATCACCATCTAGCAGAGCTGGTGGACTGAGATCCTGGTTTGGGGACTGAGGACACACAGTGACCCGTCACATCCCTCTCCTCCCAGTGGGCTGCTGTAACCCTCCAAGCCCATCTTTTCTGTCAGAAATACGGTGGTATGTATTACACCAGTACAGTTCCAGGGAGAAGGCTTAACTTTAGGTCTTAACTTTTAGATCTTGTACCGACACTAAATGATAGTTTTATTTCACCAGGTGACCAGAACTCTCCTCCTCCTCCTCACCCACGCACTCTTTTTAGAAGCATATTAGTACTTCAGGAAAATGACTGGGCTACGTGGGAGGCAACTCCTGTACCCCCCAGACAGGGAGTGGCTGCTGAGACCTGACCTTCTGAGAAGAGCTCACCAGAATGACCAGCGAGGTGGGCTAAGAGGCAGGGCCCCAGCTGCTGCAGGGCTGCAGCTGCCAGCATGCCTGCGAGGGGACACTGCTGCATGTGTGACAGCACAACCTTGCTCACGTCAGCCAGGGAAAGTGTTACAGCCCTATTGGTCATGGTGAGTCATTTGCACCTTCTGCTTCATCTGGCATGAACTTCATTTTAAGTTACTCTAGTGCATCATTATTTTCAATATCTCCTACACCAGAAGCTGGAGCCACAGAGGAGAAAATAATTACATTTACCAGAACCTGTCATTAAAATTGGCAGCTAGTTTTATTTCTCACTAGAAATAAAAAATCAGATTTTGAACAGGACTGACAAGCGCCATTCAAGTCCTCACACTAGTAAAACACTATTCATCAAAACTAATAAACAAATATAATTCGCAGGTATTCAAATGCACCTGCCTGCACTTTTCTTCTATGTGAACAAATTGAGCAAGGAAACAGTATCTGGGGGTCAAATTCAATTAACCATGTAAAACAGGAATTTACCAGAAGACTAACCAGCCAGTTTTGATTTCAAGAGAAATTTGTGTCATTCTTTTGTCTTAAAGTAACACAGTGTGCAACTTAACACTGAGCATTAGCTTTAAATGTGCTTCCGTACACCACCACCTTGGATTACATCCATGGTTTTGGTCTCACCCATATTGTGAGGTTGCCAGTGGCTCTTGTGGCCATCCAGATTGAATAATTTAATAATTAGATAACCGTGCCCTAAACTCCTGGACCAGTCAGATGACATGTCCTGCCTTCAAATACACACCTTTGTGGTAGCTTGGAAAACTTCCCACCAGGAGTCTACCTCAATGTCTTCCCTGTTCTTTTTTTTTTCTTGTACATGTATTACAGGGACAGGTTTCATAGGAACTTGCACTCAGCTATTCAAAGGAATTAGGAGCAAAAGCTTCTTTACTTGCACACTGTGCTTGTAAGGTATAACTGCAAGGGCTTTCTGCCAAAACAGAAAAGCCACACTGAGAAATAAGGGAAACAAAGATTGCCAGAACAACACTCAGTTTGAATTGTGTCTATTTATATTTCCATCTCTTGTTTGTAGGAAGTTCTGTTTTTATCTATAACCCTATGCAAGTTCCTATAAAAGTCAGTTTAATTTTAGTATTACTCAATTTCCAAAGAAACCATTTGGGTTTGTGTTTAGAAAACTTACTGCCAAGCCCCCTCTGCTGGACGGCAAAATCATGGTTTAATCCCTGCATGCTGAAGACTTCTAGTAAAAGCATTCCAGCATATTACTGCTCAAGTAATTACAGGCTCAGAGTTCCAAACATCGTTACTATCTTTCTGTTATTATTTATTGTTATCCGTCACGAGTTGATCTTTAGAAAAGAGTCAGCATGATCGCTGCAAATGTGAAAGTATTCAGTCAATCTGTTGAAAATTCTTGCTGTCATCTGGTTATTTTATCATCCAGGTTATTTTCAGTAGTGTCTATTCTAGCTTGAGCAATAAATTAGCACATGGATTTAAGCCCTGCTGTGAAACAGACTGTTTGGTGATCTAATTAGTTAGGCTAAAAGCCACAACATTGAGCATTGCCCTACAGAGTTTTGATGTTTCTAAGATAAAGTGTTGGGCCCATTTATGGTTCTCTGTGGTGCACATTGAGAGCCGAGTTTCCCTGAAAGGAGATCCAAAGCAGCCAGTATGCCATGCAAGCAGCCAGTAAGGAACTGTTGCCTACAGACTCGTGTCTGAGGCTTTTCCCCCTCATGAGCTGTTCAAAAATTGGTCTTCGAAGAATGGCAGTCCTTTAAAAATGGAGCAAGCCAGGAGAGCATTGCTGGGGCAGCTGATAGTGCATAGAAGACCTCTTCAGTGTGTGGACAAGTGAGCTTTGTGTTCCTGCTTGGCAAGAGGGCAGGCAAACTTTGGTTCCTCATTTTCTGGAAGGTCTCTTGACTACTAAGTAGAGGTCTCTCCTTTTTGAAAGGGAAGGAGGAGTATTTGTTAGCCAAGGAGGAGTATTTGTTAGCCAAGAGAGGCTTGGAGATTTACAGCTAGAGCACTTACCTGTGAGTGGGAAACACTAGATTCTGGTGCCTTCTCTGAGTGCAGTTACATATTGTACGTTAAGCAATTATTAGATAAAGTACGTAAGTGGTATGTGAAGCTGATCCAGAATTCTGTGGCTCACCTCTCAAATCAGTGCCCCAATCTCAAGGCTTAAAGGCAAGTCCTGTTCTTTCTGTAGGTGAATGGCTCTTGAATGCCTCTCTTTGAGCTGAAGCAAGTTCATGAGAAGACCAGAGAATGTTTCCTTCTATAGGCTTATGGTGAGGTCATCATTTCAAAGTGAGCTTGACAAGCATGTCCTTGAGTCCCTTTATGCAGGAGGGAAACTGAGCCTGAATTTCTCTCATTTAAACCTTAAATGCCCACATTCCCACAAATGCCGTCACTGGTAAACTGTTGGGTAAAACTGATGAGGTTGAAAAGGTGATGGTATCCCTTTAAAGAAAATGTCTCTAATGAAGTCCCTGAAGGGCTGAGAACTATTTCAAAGCCCTAGTATTTCATTTAGCTTGAAAAAATAGTGACAGTTTTCCCATAAAACTCAAATTCTTGCAGAACTGAGAAAAGAAAAAACACACTGAATTGGTGTTTTCTCTTAAAAAAATAATTTTTAAAGTAACTATATTTCAGCTGAAAATGTGAACTAATTAAAGTTTCCTAGAATATACTGCAATATAGCATGTATCCTGATGAGCTTAAATGAGTATTCCCCATGTTTGGAATTGATGCCCAACCTCTTCACTCACAAGACAGAGAGTAGTCTCAGTTTTTGTGCATGCAACATTTTGTGACTATGCAACATTTCCTGTCTGCTTTGCTGAAAAAAATGCCTCCCAGGTTTAAGTCATCTGTTGCTTTAGAATTGCAGCACAATAGAGTTCCCTTTCCTTCTGAAGGAGAAGGTTTTAATGCAGGGCCTGTGCTCACTGAAGAAAAAAGGAAGGAAGCAGTAAGTACTTAAGTCCCAAGCAGTGGGTAATCAGACAGCTCTGCAACCAGGGGAGCACTCCTTCCTCCTGAGGCATTTGGCCAAATTAGATAAATTTCAGAATTTTATAGATCCGCAATCTAGACATCTCATCCCACCTTCACAGGAATCTTGTGCTTCTATGATTAGAGCTAACCTGCTTCCACAGAGGTCAAACAGTAGCCAGCCAAGATGTAGCCCTTGGAGAAGGGAGAAGGGAAGGAGAAGGGAGGCAGAAGCTCCTTTCTCCCTGAGTGGGACAGAAGACCAGATCTGACCCAGGATACAACTTGCCACTTTTCAGAAGCCTTTTTGTTCAAATCCTATTCGTTTCTTACCTTCTGAAATGCACAGTCTGCCCATTTATGCAGAGCCGCAACACAAAGATAGAACTTCAGAGCTATTAAGTTGAGGTGCTGTATAGTCAGGCTTTTACAGATAATGAAAACCAGTGAAATGAAAGCAATAATGGAAACTTGTTCTTCAGTACGTGCCTGCATGAGAAATGGCTACCAGGAAAGAGAAAAGCATTGCTCCTAAGTGTTCTGCCTATAACTTTACTGATGTAACAACAAAGAAACAGTACACACTTTCCTGCTCACATACCAGGAATTTCATGAGGCTTAATGCAAGATTACAGACCAGAAACTGCAGTTAGAGATCATTGCAAAACTGCAAACTGCTTTGAACTCTAGAACAGAAACTTAAACTTTCCCCACAGTTTAGGAGTGAGAACTTTATGGCAGTGCTGCTTTTATGACAAGTACTCTACAAACGTTATCAGTTTGCACTACTCCACAGCTGTGTGACAAAGATTGCAGAAGTACTGGTGGAGGAAGCTCTATTGTTTTAGAGCTGGGCAGTCTTTAGAATAAATGTATCTATCTGTTTTACAGATCAGAGGATGACTGAAAAAGATTCTCTAAGTACTTTCAGTTATGTTTCTTTGTCTGGAATTTCTGCTCTCCCCAGCCAATCGTGTGTGCAGCCATTATCCAGGGTACTTCAATGACATTTATAAGAAACAGAAGGGAAAGTAGCCAGAAGCAAAAGGCACATTCACTGAATACTGCCAGCTTTGAGTAAATTGTGGCACTATTTAAATGAACACTCCTCTAACTGAATTTTAGATATTTTCTTGATAAGGACTGTTCCTCCCAGCCTTTATTTTGCAAGTCTGTTTACAACCATTACTCAGGCTGATGCAAAAGAAGGTTTAAAGTCTGTAGCATGTCTCAGAAGGCTCTGTGTACCATTAGAACAGGGCCTAAGTCAGAAGAATCAGCAGGGTGATACCAAGCAGTGCTGGTTTTATAGGTAGTATATACTGTAATTTAATGGGGCCAGCCACAGTATTTTATGAGCTCTATCCACATTACATATGCTGAATATAACCTATATACCCGAATGTTTAATTTTACCAGTCAGCAGAACTGTGACTGGGGCCAACCCAGCTGCATTTGAAAAACATCTGCCATAAGCTATTAATTCCATCATCAATATGGTTAACTACTGTTAACCAACATGGATAGAGGAAAGAAAAGGGGCCTGGAGGATATTTTTGCCATCACCTAGATATTCACCCAAGTATTTGATTTAGCAGAAATTGGTATAAAAGGGGTTGCATCAAATGCCAGTGTGAACACAATACTGAGTGTGCTTCAGCCTCGTTAGCTCCATTGGTGATTGTTGGAGGTTCTTGTGGTCTGAAGTGGACTGAAACACTGCTGAGTTCCCAGTAACGAAAGAGCCAGAGGTACCAGAATGCAAATAAATCAGTGGTCTGTGTCAGACAATAGGTTCAGCTATTCAATTCTCACTCTGCCTTAAAATCTATGAAAACAATGAAAATGAAAATACTTTACCCACATCCGTTAGGAGTACTTGTTAGTAATCACAGTATTCTCATTTAAGAGTTTAGATTAAGCAGTCAGACTAGAGATCTGTAGATGAGAAAAAGGAACTGCTTTATGCCTTTCACTTTCACCCTGCAGTTTCTCATAAATGAAGCTGTAACCAGCAACTAAGCTGGAGTACTCTGATGAACTTTGCCTTGCAAATTGAGGTTGCATGCAATTACTTTCCATTTTGAATTGTCTATTGCCAAAACCTCATATCTGTTCAAATTGTAGCAGAGCTACATATCTTCAAATGCTCCTGTACAAAATCTGAACTTACTTGATTATAAGTGCTTGGTGTTTGGAATGTCCGAACTCCAAAAGTGTAGGCAAACATTGCACATGTCATGCCAGCTCTGCACAGCCACTTCAGGCTCTGTGGCATTTGCAGGAGTCTTAGACACTATCTATGCTGATGTCTCCTACTCAGCTCTTAAAGTATTGACAGTTTCTATTTTGAATAAGTGGGCTCTGTTGGCTTTTGCAGTAGAGTGCACTACAGCAAGTCTGGTTTTGTGGGCTTGTCAGGTTTTGAAAATAAGGCATACTGGTTTTGCATTTACCATTTATTGCTGCTTTTCATGATAAGCTGAAAGCTTGCTAAAACATTTGGCTTCAATATTTTTGAATCTCCAAAGACTTGCTTTTTGGTTGTATTTGAAGTCCAAGTTTTGCTCTTTGGTTTGGAGGGCTGCCCTATATAGAGCTACATTTAGAAACAACCATTGTGTTCTACAACTACGTTTTAGCCATATATATATATTTAATATCACTCATTAATAATTTTTTAACTTTATTTAGATAAATAAATATTTGTATAGTTGCCTCACTGCAATCTTCATCACAACCATTAGTGGGTCCTTTTCACAATTTTTTTGTATGTTCCTCTGGTTCATTTTGTTTTCCTGTTTTAGTTCCTCACACAAGATCTGGAGTCCCACTGGAAGGAGCTGATGCAAATGTTTTAGCACCAGTAGATTTACTTACCTTAGCAGAAACTAAGTACTTGTGGATCAGTTGTCAGTGATGGTTATTCAACACTTCAAATGTCAGCAATAAAAGCCCGACCTTCATTCCAGCAAGTTCATATTTAACCCTGCATGGGGTCAAATGGGCTTAGTGGAAAGAGATGGGTCTCAATTAGAGAGTTTCAATATAGTGTTTAATATAGGGTTCTGTGCAGACTACAGACTAGAACCTGTGATTAAAATCACTTAAGTCAAGAGGTGGAGGCAGTTTGTGACATTTCAGTGTCAAATTATATTTTAAAATGTGACATTTCCATATGAGTTGTAGAGGTCTTTCTAAGCTGAACTTATGAGATGTCTCCCAGTTGACTCATGCAATCTTGTGTCTTGATTTTTTAACAAAGAAGCTTAAGAATGTGAAAATGTATTTCAGCAATTATACATTGAATGTCCTGATTTAGGAAGAATTCTGTGATTTTACTTCCCATTTTATACCCTCTCTTAGACCTGTTAAGAGATAAAGAGGCCTTGTATAGCTCATACACTGATGTGACTTTCATCCAAAATTGACGTTACTGTACATGCCAACGTTTGTTCATTCATACCGGTAGCTGGGGGTGCGAGTTGTTATTTGTAGGTGGTACGGCAGTAAATGTCATGTCTGGGCTCAAAACTACTGCCAGTTTTGAACCTTGCTCTGCCAAATGCATGCCATAATGTAAGAGATTGAAAACCAAGCTTATTTAGGCCCAAGTCCATCTAAGTACATAATAGCATGGCAGTGCTATTATTGAGCAGCTTTAAACAAAAGTTTCACTGCTGTTGATTTCCTCTTCATATGTTTTTTGCGTTTTCAGTCATTCAGCTGTTTGTTCTGAGTTCATGCTCCACTTCCCTGCTGCAGAGCAGCACAAGGCCCGTGTTCCTTCAGCTATGATTTTAGCTCATGCTTTCTAAAGTACCAGTGCCAGTGCCTTCCCTCTCAGCACTTAGCAGCATTCTTCCCATTCAAGGCCATTTCTGCTTTTCATCCCAGTATTACTGCCAGCACCAGGTGAGTGTGGAGACCAGTTTTTCAGCATCCCAGAAAATAAATGCAGCCATTTTACATGGAGATTCTCTGACCTCTGAGCAAAATTTAGTTAAGGACAGCCACCACATCTGTGTCTCTGGTGATGTTCCATGGGATTACAAGTAAAAAAGCATCAGTTAAAGCATGGGGAATAGTGAGAAGTATTCACTTTTCACATGAGTTTTCAGTTGCTAGAAAACAGCTGACTGGTCTGCTTGGCTGTGTGCCCTGCAGCTGCAACCAAACTGCTATCAAATGTCTGTCTTCTGGAGACTCTACAAAATACTCCCTCACACAGCGAGGTGTGTGCTGAGCGTGAGATTGGTACAGAATTCCTGAGTCCTTGTATGGAAGCTCTGAACTCCTTTCAATCCTGTTCTAACCTTTTATTAATTTCAAATTACCTTGATTGTTAGTGATGTAGCTGTGATGGTTTCAGTTTAAACAAGGTAAGGCATGTAGAGAAGGATGGTCTCTTTGATCAGACCTGAAAAAGATCTTGCCTGCTTGAAAATTTGACTATTAGTAAAAGCCTCTCCCTTCTAAGCAGTAGCAATTCATTTCATAAGTCTTCAGACAGGCCTTGAATATTGCAGAACCCTGCCAGTGGATGCTCTGGAACAGGTGGAATGTCTCAGCCTTACTGGCCTCTATATTTCCAATGTTTGATTTCAAGTTTCAAAAAATAAAACGCTACTCTTCTGATTACTTTTCTTTCAGAAAATTATTCTGCTGTCACTCCACTGGACAAACTGGATGCTGACAGTACTGATGAGAGTTATATTTATGCAAAGCCAGCAGCTGTCAAGGGAGGATACTGTAATCTGTATTCCCCTACACTGGTTATAGGGTCTCTCCAGTCCTGTTAAGTTTCTCCTAAACATCCAGTTCCTTTATGAAGTGAAATGAAATCAGAAAGGCTGAATGACTGAAGTCTCCTAGCTACTGGCTTCACTTCAATCAGGACAAAGATATACTGCTTTGGATGACATTCATATTTCCTGTTTAAAAAGAGTTCTTTTTTTCTTGGATAGGAGTTTGAAGAAAGTCATCTGGAAGCCAGCTGTACATCCTATTCCCAGAGCAGCAAGCAATACTGGTAAAGTAAGACTATGATTATCCTTTTTGTTTTTTTCTTTCATCATGTGATACTCCTATTCCATAGAATGCTGATTTTTTTTTTTAGTTACATGCCAGCATAATTATAGCATGGAAATAAATAAACAGGTGACACCCACTTCTGTACAATGTGCCTAGAGCTCTCTAAGCATTTCCTCTAAGTATTCCTTGTAAAGGAGATGAGTCAGCTAAGCTGGAGAGCACTGCTGTTTTCATAGCCTGTAGGTTACTGTCAGTAGGGATGTGTGGTGAGTGACAGGAACTGGTTAAGTTTGCGTGATGGTGAGAGCAATGAAATAATTTCTCATGTTAGGGCTTGCTGGGTGTACAAGCTGAGGTTTCCACTGAGGAAGTGCCTGAGCCAGATGATGTTTGTCCTCTGTTTTTCCAGGAGATATGGGGTGCAACTGGCATCTCTGGCAGCTGCAGGAAGGTTCTCACTGTAATCCTCTACTGACTCCACTGAGCATATGCTAACAGGTAATGTATAGCACCTGTATTAGGTTCTCATGAAAGACGAGCACAAGATGGTCCCTTGTGAATGCTTTACTTGATAGCATTTTCCACAAAAGTTAGTTCATCTTATTTGAGAATGACTCCCATGCAGTTTTGGCAGGATGACACTACAGGAGAGGCCAGACTCTTCTTGTTGTTAGTAGTCATATTATGATGGCTGTCACTCACATTTACCTGCCTTGTCCAAGTCACCTCTAAAAATTCCCTGCTAAATAAAGCTTTGGCAGGTTGCACCTAGAGTTTTCCTATTTCAGCAGTCAACTTGCCTGGCTCCAGGTCTTTTGAAATTGCTGCTGAAACATAATTTAGCATCCATATGCTAGACCGATCAGTCCCAAAGCATAAATTACAAGCAGCTGAAGTTCAGGTTAAGGATGCAAGTATGACCAACTTCTGACCCATTAATTTATCCCACTGATGCATTAATTTCAAACTATTAATTAAATTCAGTGATGATAAGATAGACTAAACAAAAAGATAAATGAAGGATGAGGATGGTTTTCCAGACTTCATCCAGCATGTCAGCTTAGAATCATAGAATACTTGGAGTTGGAAAGCGCCTTAAGATCATCTACTTTCAACCCCCCTGCCATGGGCAGGGACACCTCACACTAAACCATGCCACCCAAGGCTCTGCCCAACCTGGCCTTGAACACCTCCAGGGATGGACCATTCACAACCTCCCTGGGCAACCCATTCCAATGCCTCACCAGCCTTACAGTAAAGAATTTCCTCTTAATATCTAACCTGAACTTCCCCTGTTTAAGTTTGAACCCATTACCCCTTGTCCTATCACTACAGACCCTGATGAAGAGTCCCTCCCCAGCACCCTATAGGCCCCCTTCAGATAGTGGAAGGCTGCTAAAAAAATAAAATAAATAAAAACATGTCCACACTGAGTCTGTTATGCAGTACAAAACATCAGGAAACAAGTGAATTGTATATTCCTGTGATTGCTTCATGTAGTTCTGTGTTCAGTATAAGAAAATAAGCATAAACTAGGGTGGTCTCCTAGAGGTGTAAACTTAAAGAGTTCTTGTCTGTGCTAAAGTTAGTCCTTGAGTGAAGTTTCATATGAATACCAGGGAAAGGAAGATAATTTGTCTCAGATCCCTCTTCTTACTTACGGAGTTTTTACAAAGTGTTGTTTTCTTGTTTTTGTCATGCTTAGATCCTTAGCTGCTTCCTCTTACTGAAGGAGGATATAAAAGACACAATCATATCACTTTGCAGTTTACTCTGTGACTGTGGACAGCCAGTGTCTGCAGGAGATACTGACAAAGCAGCAGGTTGCAGCAGGTGAGGAGCTGCCCCATCACACTCAAATCCCTCAGCTTCTGGGCTACCACAAACAAGATTTTCTATAGGATGTGTTTTATGGGCATCTGTGGGCCATTCTGACATTGCCATTATGATCCATGTATTTATCAGCTCCACACTTCATGACCTTTCTTCCATTCATCTGTGGAGCTTCCAGGTAGCCTTGTTTCTAAAGCAAGTATTTAGAAAACACTAAAATTATTTTTTTTAAACTATAAATATTGATTGGATTCCAAATCTTAGGGAAAAAAACAAAACACAAACCCAAAACCAAACAAAAAAAAAAAACAAACCACCAAAACCAACCACCAACTTTTTTTGAAATCCAGTTAGTGACTTCTCAGTACTAGGAAAGAGAAACTGAGAAATAAAACTCAAAAAGTTTTGGGCCTACAGGGATGCTGGAGAGGGGCTCTTCCTCAGGGACTGTAGTGATAGGACAAGGGGCAATGGGTTCAAACTAAAACAGGGGAAGTTCAGGATACATAAAAGGAAGGAATTCTTTATGTGAGGCTGGTGAGGCACTGGCACAGGCTGCCCAAAAAAGTGGTAAATGCTCCATCCCTGGCAGTGTTCAAGGCCAGGTTGGACAGAGCCTTGGGTAACATGGTCTAGTGTCGGGCATCCCTGCACATGTCAGGCGGTTGGAACTAGATGATCTTGAGGTCACTTCCAACCCAAACCATTCTATGATTCTGTAAGAACCTTTTCTGTACACACTGACCAATGGACTGGGAGGGAGATCTGTTTTAAAACTCTTCTGGGTAGGATGAAAGATTGTAAAATATCAGAATTTCTGGCCAAGAGAGAGAAGGATTTTTCTGCTTGTGTATCAGCCTTTTACCAAAACTAGAGAGGGGGCTAGAGAATTGGTTCCGTTTTAAGTACTACTGTCAGTGAGAGGGTGAAAAGGTCTGAGTTGGAAAGAAAATTTCAAGTTGCTGATTCTTTGAAAATCTCTGTTCATGGGTCAGATTTCTAAGGTCTCTTGACACCATACCAGCAAAACAGTGCCAGAGTTTAATTGAGGAAGATCTGGCTCCTGCTGCGCTCTGGACTGTCTTAATCTGTGTGTAGTCTGACCTTTATTACCTGTACTGTGACAGCATCTCGTGCGTGTGAGCATTGAGGAATAATGTCCTTGAAGACTGCTTTGAAGAAAGGCACATATTGTAGCAGCAGGCAGAGGATTCCTTCTTTTTAATCTACACAAACCAAAACTCTGTCTCACCCAGCATCCTCTCACAAAACGTGCTCAAGTTTAATCTACTGTGATTTACAGCCTGCCAGCCACCTACTCATTGCCTTTTCTGAGTGCTGAGCTTCCTCTGCTACCCTTAAATCAGGATGAACACTGTGGGATCATCTCCAGAAAACAGTCTGTTGAGGCATCAGACATTTTCCTTGCAGGTGCAGAATGTGTCTCCATGCTGAGCTGAGGCAGTTCTTTGATAAGACCTTTGCGGATAATTCAGTATAACTTCACATTTTACTGAAAGATAAGGATTTTCTGGTTTAGGAAAACAAATCCATTTCTTGGTGAAGATCACCAGTGCTTTTGCTTTTCTTCTTATAACAGTTTCTTCAAGGAAAATCTTTTAAAAGGGACCTTTTAGCCTCTCCTGGAGGTTACACCCTTGTAGGGGTCCTGCCTTCATCTGTAGATTTAATGGCTTAATAATCATTAGACCCTCCTATTATACAGGAACAAATAGGAATACAATACTTTTATCAATATTTGGCACAATTAATTTTTTTTATGTGAAACTAAATATTGATGCTGTCAAGTGACTACAGCTTAGGGGCATAAATTACAATACTCCCGTGAGCCTCACTCAAATTTGCATTCACATACAGTAACCATTTAACGTCTTTCTATTCCTGTAAGCCATATGATTTGATTGCCAGATTACATGATTCTGTATTGTGCTTAGATGTTTTTACTGTTATTACCAATATTATCTTTTATTCTTACTGTAAGTGGTAACAAAAAGTTAACTGCTTCCTTATCCTATAAAAGGAATGAAGTCCCATTTACAGAAGGTCTCTAAACAGAAAATAGCTCTGTAAAAAAGATATACTGAATAAATAATTCATAACATGATGGGTAAATAGAAAAAAAAGGCCTTTTGATGTATTTTGCTACTCAAAACAGAGCGAGAGATTTAAAATAAAGTAACTGGCTATTATAACGGAGAACAAAATCTGCTTTAAATCAGAACCATTGCAGGGGAGTCAGCTCTCTGTGCATTTTTACCAATTTTGCACTTTTGTAGGTAACAACTTGTGAAATTGAGGAATCTGTCCCCTTGGTTTTCCTAATTTGTTTCTTTTTCTTCCTCCCACCCTCCTGGTTTTCCATTAGCTTATTTCTTGGCTTAATTTCTAAATGAAATGTCAACCCACCCACCCAAAGGAAACCGTAACATTTCAAGGATTTCAGATTACAGCAAAGCCCATCGGTAATATAAACAGCAAATAAATTCTTAAAGGCCTTGGAATTAAAGTCTCCCAGCTCAAATCTTTCATTAAAAACTTGAAATTTTCAGTGCATTATGCTTCAGATTTCCACATGAGAATATACAATAAACATATATTCTGAAAGCACCCCTGAGGAAATCAGCATGTGCATTTTCTCTTTTTCCCCATAAAACTGGAGGATCTTCATCAACTAAGCAGTAAACATGAAGTCATCATTTCTTGCTAGGTACTGAGGAAATGCTGCACGAAACCACCTGGGAGGGCTCCGACAGCCTGCGTGGAAGAGCCTTGGGGCAGGGGGCAGAACCCGGGCTGCAGAGCGGCCTGGCCTTGCTCAGGTGCTGTTGGGACTCAGGAAAGTGCTTTCTGCTCAGACCGAACCGCCGGGCCGGGTGTTCGCTGGTTTTTGCACGTAGAGGAGTCGATCCCGGGCTGATCTGAGGTGAAATGATTCAGGTGGGGCTCTTGCCAAGCCCCTCGGTGGAAGGGGCTGATGGCGAGCCCTGGAACAGTATTAGGCTTGTCGGGAAGAGGCAAAGCCCCTGGGAGTAGCCTGCCTTGACCGCGGTTTGGGCCGAAGGCAGCACACCCCCGACAAGTACTTTATTTACCATACAAGCCTTTTATTTGTTTCTAATGCACAAGCGCTGGCTGCGCGTGTCCAGTGCAAAAGGAGGGGTGCTCGTGCTCCCTCTGCCCTCATCGGCGACTGGATTACCGCACCCGGGCGGTGGCAGACAGGAGCACCATTGTGAAATATGAACTCACGCCTCTTAAGATAACAAGGTTTGATTGAGCGACAAAGTCAGTAAAGCAAAAGCAACATATCTGGGCACATGACCGTAGCCAGAGGCGCAAGTGATTAGCATTTGTTACAGGTTTATATACTTTCGCTATTACATTAATTACATGCATATTCATAATTCCCGCATATAGGCGGGGGATATTATAACTAGCTCCTGATTATAAGTCTCCTCCTCTTGGCGTCTGCCCACTTCTCTGTGGTGATTGTGGGCAGGAGTCTTGAGGATGAAGTAAACAGTCTTCCTCTTGTGAGTAGGGGTCTTCAAGATGAAGTAAGCAGTCTTCCTCATAGTGTACTTTTCACCTTTGACACAGTTGGACCCTCCAGTAATCACACAACTAGCTATATCTGTAATTATTCTGATAACTAGCAAAGATTTAAAACACTGTGACCTTCCTGCAAAATTTATTGCAGGATGGGCAGACAAGGAGTATCCCAAGCTAGCAGATGTTTGGGAGGCTCTGTCTCTAAACTGGTAAGTAGAAGGATGGTGTGAAATAACTCATTCACGTTTAGTGGGGCCACTAAATCCTGTTATCTCACCACAGATTTACAACACAAACACTGCTCTTTAAAACTACTTTAGAAGACTAGTGTGAAACAATTAACTCATGTTTACTGGGGCCACTGCATTCCACAGACTTACAACATAAACATTGTTCTCTTTCGACAACCTAAGTTAAGCTAAAAAGTACTTAACTCTGTTTTCCAGGCACTAGCTTTCCTTGTATCAAGCTCCCCCGCCCCCTTATTTCTTTTACCTTTACAAATTCTTTTGCTATGTGACTCCGTTTTGATCAAGAGATCTGAACCTTTTTGTCTAGTCTTGTGTCTTTAGCGAGTTTTGTTATTGTAAACTGGTACAGTTATATCCACATAACCACACCTATGATTTGCGAAAGCCAATACATTTATGTGTTTATCACATCATCACGATCACAGCGCCGCTCCTCGGAATGCCGCCGTTATGTGGCGGTGAAACGAGGGGTGCAGCTCAGCCGCCACGTAAGCGGGACGCTATCCCCGATCTTTATTTCTAAGTCCTGGGGACGGTCTCCCCCTGCCCGCCGGGGACCAGGCGCCGCCATCGCTCCCCTCCGGTGCCGGCGCAGGGCCCGCCGAGATCTCGCCGGCCGTTACGGCGCCGACGCCGTCTGCCGCTGGGGCGGGACGTGCGCAGCTTCCCGCCTTTCGCGTCTGTTCCTCAGCGGCCGCCCGCACCAGTGTACTTCCCGCGGCACAGCATGGCCGGGGGTGCTCCGGGGCCGCCGGTGAAGGTGCTGGCCGCCCAGCTGCGGGGCGCAGTGCGGGGTGCCGGTGGGACGTGGCAGTTGGTCCGGGCGGAGGCGGGCCGGGCACCGCTGTGCCTGCGGGTCGTGTGGATGCAGGGCACTGTGCTGGAGGTGGAGCGCGGCGGCGCCCGCGGCGGCTCGGCCCGGCTGCATGATGACAGCGGCCCCTTCACCGTGCTCGGGGTGGAGGAGGTGCCCAAGGGGCGGCCCTGCCTCAGCGCAGGTACCGGGAGCCGGGCGCGGGATACAGCCGCTGCGGGGCCTCTTTCCCTTGCATCGTGGGCCGTCACTTGCGGCTCCTCTTGGCTCGCGTGCGCAGGGGTGCAGCTGCTCCCCTTGTCCGAAAGCGGGAGGCTTGCAGGCAGCGGGTGTGTGTCGAATACGTGCCTGGGGCGCGCAAAACTAGCGCAGCTGCACAGGCATCATTTCACAGACACCAGCAGCACCCTGAAAAAGCTGTGCTGCTATGGCAGTCAGAAGGAGCAGCGTGTGCTGCCGCAGGAGCGTGTTTGTGGCTATCAGTACAAAGACACGGCCTTCCCCTGCGAGTTCCAGTAAAGATAGGGCCTGTTTTCAGTTCTTCACAGTTAAAGCCAATGGTGGATCAAACTGGGATGTTGCAGAGAAGAGCTGTGAGTCTAGGAGCAAGGATAGTATTTACTTGTTTATTTACTTTTTTTTTTCCCTTCACCAGCACTGCTAATTCAAGTGAACAAGTGCTGGACTGCAGCATTGCAGGAGTTGTGGTACAAAATAAGTCTTGTTACTTAATGTTCAATCTTCTGAATTGCCCTCCCTCCACTTGCATGGTAGAAGGAGGAATCGTGCTGGTTTTGAGTCCTAGTGGATGTGAAAATCTAGCAAAATACTGTAAAACAGCTGTACAGATCATGAAGCCTTTTTCAGAACTCAGATCCAAGCAATGTTAGTTCCTTGAGTTTTCTTGCAAGTATTGGCAGCTTTAATTCAAACTGTTTAACTACTTGGTTTAAATTACTTAGCTTTCTGAATTAAAATAGAGGCTAATTAGATTTCACACTTTCTTGGTTTTTTAGGGAAGTATGTAATGGTGATGGGTGTGGTGCGGTCCTGCAGTCCTGAGCCTGTGCTTCGAGCCTTAAAGATGACAGATCTTTCTGAAAACCCCGTGCACAAGGATATGTGGAGCCTTGAAGTGGAGGATTTGCACAGAGTCATCCCCTAGATATTTTTTCTTCTGCCAAAAACCCCTGGAAATGTACTTTTTTTTTTTCATTTTTCCCCCTCTCAGCTGTAGAGCATTGAGCCATCCTGTGTATTTGCATTTTCAAACAAGCACCGGTTACTCTCCTGGAGTAAACCAAGGTGAGAAGTCAGGCTCAGAGTTAAGTGGAGGGATCAGTGCATATCTGATAATAATCACAGTGTACATCTCTTTCACAGTCTCTTTTTATACCAACAGTTTTGAGAAACACTTGATGTACTAAGATGTCTGTGCTATTAAAATTACTACATGTTTATGTGTATTAGTTGCTGTTTCTAGGCCCATGCTTAGATAGTCGTTACTGTAGTGGTGTATTCTTGGCAGCAAGGGCTGAACAGAACTCATGTTACCAGGTGAATTCAGTACATGGAATGAAGGTAAAATGCATTTTGGTCCATCTAAGTTGGGGTTGGAAAGAACATCTTCACCTGTTTTCTCTTTTAGTAATAACCATGTCAGCAAATTCTGTTTGTAAGACACATGCCTCTTTCTAACTGTAAAAGCAGAGTCTTGTACTTAAACGCCTCTCTGGTTTCTGTGTTTCTGAAAGTGGTACAGTGATAACCCCTGTGTTCCAGTGAAGCGAGATTAGCTGAAAAGATGTGATGCAGGATTCCTTGGAATAGGTTCTCTGGCTTCAAGATGCAAATAACTTTTACTACCTCATGAAACGAGCTTGCTAAGCCTAAGTATTTTTCTCTTTAAAGGTTTCCTTTCTTGTTCCAAGCTATGCTATTTTTAGTTGTTTACATCATTCTTAAATATATTTTAATCTTTCCTCCTGTGGAAAAAAACCTCAAACTCAAACAAACCAAACCCCATATAAATAATGAAATCTGATAAAGAAAAACCTTTCAAAATCAGCCCTATGGCTATTCTTTTATCTTCCCTCTTGTCTATAGAGAATTTGATTCCTAAAGAAAGCATTGCATTATCTATGTGATATGACTTCGTAGTTTGGGACTCTATTGTAGTGCAGTAGTTCTGTTAATTAGGAATGCATACAGGAAGGGAAGATGTGCTCTAATTGTACTCTGAACAATTGAACATGAGAATCCAGTGGTGGTAACTAAATTTTAAAACTGGGGGATTATGTTTTCAAAGTGCATGGAAATGAAATACTCTTCTCAGTAGATCTTTAAATGAGACCTTTACAGATGAAGGACTGGCTTTCAGAGTCAATTCCAGCCTTGAGATCAGTATTCCAAACCAGGCCACATCAGAGGCACTTGCATAATGGACATCCTGAGCTCCAAGACCCTGCTGACAAAATGCCAGAACACACATACATACAGAATTTTGGCAGTCTGGGTTTATTTATTGTTTTTAATGCTGGGAAAAAAACAAATGACAAAACACTTGTGGAATGCTGTAGCCTTTCAGGAATGATCCATGTGGTCAGGGTATTGGCTGGCAATTTTTTACCTAGCAATAGATACTTTTCCATCTGAATGCTGCTTTTCCCAGGAACCTGAAGCTCATTGCATGTAAACTCACCTCACCGTGCTTTCTAACTAGGTAGTGAAATCCTGAAAATAAAGAGCTAAAAGGTCTGCTGCATCCTTGCTGGTGTAAGTAAATGTGGCAATATTAAATCTGGCTTGCAGCCCTGTTGGTGGGTGCAGAGTATAGTGGTTGTCAGGAGTAAAACTACTGTTAGTCCATCTGGCAGTGATACATATTCACTGCATGCATCCGAAAAGTTGCATTTCTGTAGGAGTGGGTTGTATGTACATAGGGCTGGAATGGATTTGTAAATGATTTCTTTGCATCTTTCACCACTCCGCCATTCAGAGGCCCATAAGTCAAAGCATCTGGGGTTTCTTTGCTTGCAAACAGTCAGTACCAAGCACAATAAGACCTAGATCCCTTCACTGCTTTATTTACAGTGTTTTGGTATCTTGTCTGGATCTCTACTGTACACTTGACCTCACTAAACACACAAACTGGCTCTACTCCGCCTGGCAAGTTTTTCATGTTTCATCAGCACAAAGCTATACATGTTCGCTTGACAGTTAATGGGAAGGAGAACTGTTGTTGAACTGAAGTACTGCTTCAGAAAGTCCTGCAAATACATTAGTGAATTTAAAGGGTTAACATTAGTTTAAAGGTTTTAAAGGGTTTTAAAGCCAACACTGGATGCTTTTGTGACAGTTGTCAGCAAAAAGCGCTTTCCTAGGAATTCAAAGCAAAAGGCAGTCTCAGAAAGTTGAATGCTGAGTTTCTAAGCAAAAGACTTCTAGTGATTGCTCATGAGCAGCTGATGCTGCTTATGGCTGTTGGTATCTTCAAGTACCATTCAGGCCTGAGTGCATCATCTCTGGGTTTCCAGAGTTTGGCACTGTAGTGCTCTACCGAGCAGTGTGAATTCTCCCTTTTCCACGTCTTAACTGCAGCAGGCGGAGTGTGTTTGTGGCTGTCAGTATGAAGACTTACGCTGTCTTCCCTGTAAGTCCCAGTAAGGATAGGGCCTGGTTTCAGAACTCCACAGTTACAGCCAGTTAGTCCTGCTCTGTATAAACAGTGCTTTGCCCAGACTTCTGTTGCTGGTTATGATGCACTGTTTATAGTTGATGTGGTAGGTGGGTGTCAGGGACCACGTTTAGAACCCCAGGGCACGAGGGGCTGTGGTTTCTGTTGCCTGAAGTGCTGGCTCCATTGCTGCTCAGTGTGCACCAACCTGCACCCCATGCTGACAAGGCTTCTGCTGCCCTTCATGGGCACCAGGTGTGGGTTGGAGGGCCAGTACGAGTGCTTGCCTTCCTCGTCAGTATCTGTACACAAACCATGCAGTTGCATGACCTGGGAACAGCTGAGAGATACCTATCAATGGCTGTAGCTCAGTATGTTCACTGGTGGTTAAATGGCTTCTTTATATGCGGCTTCTAGGGAACCCCTTATCTGCACCTACCCCAGTGTTGCAGTCTACAGCTAATACAGTTTAAACAGTTTCTTTTCTGTATTGCTGTATCCCTGACTGCACTGCCCTTAGTCGAAAAGTAAAGCTATTCTAGATCTTTTGCTCTACTTGTTGACATTGTATTTTGTTCCTGTAGCTGTCATCTCAGTATTTTTTCAAAGGCGTTTGGTGTGCTCAGCACACATTAAGTGACTGGGGAGAAAATTATGAGGTTTTTTTAATTAACTGGTATAAATACTTTTTAACTTTCAGAAATATTGCATACAATTTTGGCTTCTTTATAAAACGTCTCTCTAAGTAAGCAGTTACAAAATCATTACACAGGAGGGCCTCATTTCTACCATGTTTTTACAGCAGCATCTCCTACCACTTGTAGGAATTTTTCCTGACCCGTGTTAGAATCATGTTTTACTTGCATTTGTGTAAAACTACAGTGTCACCCTTGAGGAAGCGATTGCAGTTGAAAGTAGCACAGTCAGGGTACCTGAGGGCATCTGCTACTTTGTGAACTAGGAGGCATTTAAACCCAGCCAGTTCCAACCCTGTAGAACAGTACAACTTACTCTGAATAATCAGTAAAAACAAACTGCGGCATAAAAATAACCATCTCAAAAGTTTATTAACAATGATTTTAATGGTTGGATATTATGCAAAGACATCTGAAGGATTCTGAAGCATCACTATTTACTAAGGAATAATTGTGTTTCTGGTACTGTGTGGAGAAAATGTAATGCTTTTTTTTTTTTAATCAACAGACCTACACTATCGGAAGTAATTTAACAGGGAGACACTTTCACACATCAATCTGTAGCACCTTAAGACTACTCTGTGGACAGGATACGTATTGGTCACCCCTTCCAACATGTAAACTGGTTTCTGAGAAGGGGGTTGGTTCTCAAGACACAAAGGGAGACTGTGAAACTGATTAACAGATACCAAGAAGGCTGGTTCTCATTTAACAATGTACATGGTAATAAGGGAAAAATCAACCAGCACAGAAATGAGAAAATCATTAAAAGCTTTCAGTTATTTATTTAACCATCTTACTTCTTGCTTAGCCTTCTCGGGTGCTGGGGCACTTCCCTAGAAAAAGGGCACTTCCTCCAGAATTTACTGGGTAGCTGAGTTACAGTTCTGGAGAAAAAGGAAGTCAGCATTTCTGCCCAGCTCAGAGCTGACATGCTGCCCTCACAGAGGAGCCCACTTGTACCAGTCTGCGCTGGCAGAGACCTTTGGTCATCTTTACACATATTCCTGCTGTGGTTCAAGGCTTGTCAAGAGGCACCTTTGTCACTGAATGGGAGATTTTTTATTCAAGTAACTGATAATCTTATGTCCAGTTTCTGTCACTGTACTGAAATCATTCCTCTTACCCCAGGTGTTTCTGGGTGAAAAGCTTTCTTTCTAGACTACATATGCTCCATTATACTCATAGTCCTAACACAAATTCATTCCCACTTTTACTGGTCTCCCTACTATTGCTTCTAGCTTGTCTACCTTAATCAGTTATTAAGGTAGATTATTCTGGGTGCTAAAAGGGTTCTTCCATCTTCAGGGCTGGTATCTGCCATTCAGAACTGGCTCAAACTGAAATGAAAAGGAGATGAAATCCAGTTAAAGAGTTAGTAGTTGAAGGATGGGAAGAAACAAGTGACATGTAATACAGGCTGTTACTATGGTGAATTACAAGAGATCTATGAAGGGGGAAAATAGCATCAAATATATTTATGACATTATAAAGAAGCTATGGGGAAAAGTACCCTAGCAGTTTAGATACTGGTTTAGCTACAGTAAACTGAAATAAAGATGTATGGTTCTTTCTTTATGTTTGATGATAAATTCACTTTTAGGAGGAAGAGAGCAGCATTACTGCTAAGGTTTATGGGCTTTGACTAGTTCAGCTAAGCAGATCCTTGACAAGACAGGGTTTCTAGAAAGCAGTGGTAGCTGTTTGTGACCAAAATGTTCTCTTCTGCTCTCCTGACCTTGGCCAGCTGTCAGTTACAATGCGTAACCAGCCTGGCCATTGCAAATGCTTTCACAGTATCAGACCTAATGCTCCGCTGCTGCAGTCTGTGCTGTGGCACTTCCTTCTCTTTACTGTGTTTACATATTTGAAGACTTAAATCATATCCTTTGTCAGCCCTTCGTTTTGCCCCCACAGAGACCTCTGGACTTCTATCAACTATTTCACAACTAAATCATGGTGTCCAAAACTGGACACATAAAACAAGCTAAATAGAGAAGAAGTATTTCTTCGGTATGTTTATTCATGTGTACATCCCCAGTGCACGTTGCTTGTTTAATAGTATGTTCCTGTTGTTATCTGAGCTTGT